ACACCCCGACACCACCCAGTGCATCCCCTCTGCTCCCTGCCCCCTCGCTGACTGGCCCCTGCTTCCCACACCCCTCTACACCTGCCCCCCTGGTGTCCGCCCGTCTGCACCCCAAACACCGATGCCCCCACACCCCCAACCACCACCCCGTGTGTCCCCCGAGGCATCCCCCAAGCTCTTCCCCCGACCCCCGCCATGGCCCCGCCGGCGCTGCTGTTGACAAAGTCCACGGGGAAGCCGCGGGAGTAGGTCCACCCGGAGCCAGAGTCCCGGGCCCCCCGATAAGTGCAGCAGGTCCCCCTGGGGAAGGCGGGGACAGGTGGCCAGCAGACATCTGCTGCCCCAGGGCCTCTGTCCAAGCACAGGGACAGGCAGCGCCACAGCCCCCTTCCCGCCACCCTGGGTCTCAGCCAGGGCGAGGATCTTCTCCTTCTAGCACGTTCGTTCCCTGAGCTACTGCTGGAGACATCCGAGTCCGGGAGCCTCTCCCCTCCGTCGGCCTCCCGGGTCCATGAGGGACCTCACACACTGCCCTGGCTGTGACGCCCCCAAAGGACACGTCCACCTGCAAACCTCGAGCGTCACACCACGGTGGCCGAGGCTGGAGGAAGCGGCCACAAGCCCAGGGGCCACGGGAAGCTGCAGAGGCAAGAAGCGTTCTCCCAGAGCCTCCAGGAAGGACCAGGCTGGCGGCACCTCTCGGACCCCAGATGTCTGGCCCCAGAACAGAGAGAGGCGCTTTCAGCTCCGTGGTCCGTGGCCCTCGGCTGTGGCCAGCAGGGGACATGAGTCCACACGCGGACGGAATCACTCTGGGCGGGGGAGGCTGCTCTCACACACTACTCTGCCAATGCAGATAATAAAGGAAATGATTTTAAAATAATGTCTACAAGAATCTTTGATTTCATGAGCAATGCTTACAGGGTAAAAACAAAAAAGAGAAAAAGCAGCATCCTGAAAAAGGGTCAAACGTTTACCATTAGGGAAAGAGCGCTTTTCTGAGCAAGAAGAGTGAAGGCAGCTGATGAGTCGCCCACCTCCCTAACGTGTGACAGGAACAAGCCCCTCGGCCGATTCCGTGGGGCCGGGGCCGCAGGAGGGGCCCTGCTCCCCGGGGGCGGCATGTCCCCGGCTGGCGCAGACGGAGGGCCGAGTGCTGGCGCAGGCACTTGAGCAAAACTGTGCGTTTTGCGCTGCTGCGCTCAGGGTAGTGGCTTGGGTGAAACACAGACCGCGCCGTGGCCACACTGAGTGAGGCTGAAATGCCGGAACCGCCTTGTTGGTGTAGAGGGGGCCCCAGAGGCGTCTGGAGATTAGATGCCAGAGCCCATCTGTCAGGGAAGCCTCTCGCCCACCCTGAGGGGTCCTGGACATGTCCGTCTCACTACGATGGAGAGGAGCTCCGTGGTCCCTGTCCTCTGCAGGCCATGCCTCCCGGGCTGGGGGTGGGGGGGCTGCAGCCTCTGACCCGACCCGGGAACCTGCCCGCGGTGAGGGCCCTGGGACCCCAGGGAGCAGGGGCTGAGCAGCGCTGGGCCACCCACGGCCAGCTGGGCGTGGCTCCCAGGATGGACGGTGGAGTCCGGGGTGCCGTCAGCCCAGTGAGGCTGGCAGCGAGGTGGGTGGTGGCGGGGGCGGGGATCGCGGCGTTCCCAGCGGGGAATAGACGAGACGCCCCCGGAATCCGCACTCGACGGGAGGAGCAGAAACATCCTTGGTCAAGCGAGCAAATGACCCGCCCGAATCCCCTCAGCAGAGAGACACAGCCCCCGGCTCAGCGCTGAGACTCCAGCCAGTTCACGGCCCCACACCCCGGGCTTGGAGCGGGGACCCCGGGGCACGGCGGCAAATGTCCACTGGTCACCTTGTCCCCGCCTTCCCCAAAGGGCCTGCGGCGTTCACCAGGGAGACTGTGTCCCGGGGGAGGCAAATAAGCAGACCTCGGGGAGCACGGGGCACTGGCTCTGGACGGACCCCGCTTCCCAGAGGCCCCAGACGTCCCTGTAACCAGCAGTCGGGGCTCACGGGGGCCGGGGACCCATGGAGTCCCAGCCCAGGGCCGCCTCACCCTGGGGCCAGTGGGTCCCCCCGCGGCGTGTGGCCTCCTCTCCAGCAGCAAAACAGGAGAGACTCCCACCCAGGGAGACCCCACGCCCGCACCTCCCTGAGCCTCGGCAGCCTCAAAGGGCCGTGACCAAGCCCATAAGAAGATTCTGTCTCCAGAAAATGCGAAGGAAACAAGACCCGGCGCTCGCCATCGCCTTGGCAGGGCAGTGGGCGCTCGGGCCACGGGGGGTGCGGAGCGTCACGGGGTCCTCGGGGCACAGACAGCCGTGCCCTGTCCTCGCAGCGGGGCCTGGCTGAGCCTAGGGCAGCGAGGCTGTGCCATAAAATATTTCACAGCCGTTGAAACTTACGTTCTCTGCAAATATTTAATGGTAAATTCAGCTGGAGCGCCAGGTGCAGCCGGGCAGGAGGACCCACACGGTCTCAGCCCCAGCGCGACCCGCAGAGGGCGAGGGCGGTGCCGTGGCCAGCCCGCCAGTGACGAGCATCCGTGTCTCTGGGTGGACGGGTGCCCGCAACCCGGCTGGCCAGGCATGGACACCCCCGCTGGCGGGTGGCCGTGGGGGGCGGGTGCTCACTCCCTTCCTCCCGGCCACTGGCCCAGGGAAACAGCAGGGGGCTCCAGGGACTCGGGGCTCTGAGCACAGGTGCGGGGGACCCTGTGCCTCAGGCCTGCTGTCCCTTGTGAAGGTCCCTCCGTGCAGGCCGGGACAGGGACCCCAGGGCATGGACAGCGGGACCCCAGCGGAGGTCAGCGACTGACCCAGGGCTTCCTCACATCTGTGCCTCGCACGTCCCTCTGGAACACGCGAGTGCTGGGCATTCAGGGGGCCACGTGATTGGACACGCGAGTGCTGGGCATTCAGGGGGCCACGTGATTGGATAAGGGGAATCAGGCACCAATCGTCCCCGAGAACGACCAGCACGGAAACGCTGCCTGGCACGGGTCCCCTGATGGCGGCCGCGGACGGTGCCAGGCACCTCTCCAAACTCCTGCCACGCAGTCTGGGCGCTCTAGTGCTTCCTGGGCGGCAGCCATGGGGCGGGGGGGTGGGGGGGAGGGCTGACGCAGGCACGACTCACAAAGCAAACACAGGGGGGGCAGGTCAGCTCCGGGCTCGCTCGCAGCCATAAATTCCTGCTTCCCACACCCGGACCCCGTCCTGTTACACAGCACAGTGAAGGACAAAGGCCATAAAGAGGCAGGTGTCAGCTCCGGGACCCGCATCCGGCGTCCAGCCCTCTGGGCTGCGGCCGTGCATGGAGACCGGGGCCCTCGTCCCAGCCGGGTGTGCAGGCCTCGGCTCTGACCCTCGAGACACTGACACCCTGGGCCCCGGGGGCGGGGGGTGCTCTGAGCCCCTTGTGGGGGCGAGAGGCTGCGGGTACCCCAATCCCTGGGCCAGTGTAGCCCTTCTGCCTCTGACCGGACAGGAGCCAGGGGTGGGGGGCTCCCCAGGAAGGTAAGGGGAGCCAGCGAGGGGCGCAGGAGCCCGGGCAGACAGAGCGGCAGAGTCGCCCCCGATCCGCAGTGTGCGGCCCAGCCCGCGGGCCTCTGAGAATAGACGTCGAAGCAGGAGGCCAGGGCACCACACTGGCCAGGCTGCGACTGTTTAAGAACAAACAAGCAAACAGGCAGGAAATAACACGCGTTGGCAAGGAGGTGGAGAAACCGAACCCACGAGCACTGCTGGGGGGAATCACACTGCGCAGCCGCTGTGGACACGGTGTGGAGGGTCCTCAAAGAGTGAACCAGAATCACCGTGTGAGCCAGCAGCCCACTTCTGCTGAGCGTGTCCCCCAGGGAACCGAGAGCAGGGACTCGAGTGGGTGTTTGCACACTTGTGTTCACAGCAGCTGAAACATGGAAGCGACCGCGTGTCTGCCAACGGACGAATGGATGGACGCGGTCCGTCCGCACCCTGGATGTGGCTCAGCCCTGACGGGAGGGACACTCTGACACCTGCCACACCGTGGACTGACCCGGGGCCGTGATGCTCACGTGTGACCCACTCTCGCGAGGCCCCTGGGGTCTCCAGGTTCCCAGAGACAGAGAGTGTTGGGCGCCGGGGCTGGGGGAGGGGCTGGGGTCCCTGTTTCACGGGGACGGGGTTTCCATTTGGGAAGATGGAAAGTTCTGGAGACGGAGAGTGGGGACGGCTGCACAGCAGTGTGAAGGTGCTCAGTGCCACGGGGCTGTGCACTTAGAGTCGGGGAATATGGTACTTTTTATGTTGTGTGTATTTTATAATAACAGAAAAAATAAAATTTTTGAAAGAAGATAAAAATGATATTTAGTAATGAATAAATGAATGTAGGAGAGAGGAGCCAGTCCCCGGCTGTGGCCCCGGGCAGGGGTCCGGAGCAGAGGAAGCTCTGTGGAGTAGGGGGCTCTGGGTGGGTCGGCACCCGTGGATGGGGCAACCCCGCATTCCCCAAGGTCAGAACCCCCGAGCAGGGGCGAGGGAGCCACGAGCACATGTCCCTTCCTCTGCTCTCCTGATGACAGGGACAGCTGTCTGCACATCAGAACCTCTTTACACCCTAACAAGTGTCATGGGCCCCACACAGCTTTGGTTTATGTGGTGACATCTATCGATATTGGCCACGTTGGGTATTAAAACTGAGAAATTCTTAGAATGTGAGTTATTTCAGTTAAAAATAACACAAACATGTCGTGCTGACATATATAACAGTTTTATAAAATACAACTTGTTGGGGAGCCTGGGGGCTCAGTCGGTTGAGCATCTGACTTCGGCTCAGGTCACGATCTCACGGTTCACGGGTTTGAGCCCCGCGTCGGGCTCTGAGTGGCAGCTTGAGCCTGGAGGCTGTTTTGGATTCTGTGTCTCCCTCTCTGTCTGCTCCTCCCCTGAGCACACACGCATACACACACACACACACACACACACACACATACACACACACTCTCTCTCTCTCTCTCTCACTCAAAAATAAACATTAAAAAGTAAAATCAAATACAACTTTTTTCCAACACAAAAGTTCAGTGAGAAGAGAGGCGTTTCTGCAGATTGAGAGGCGGCTGCACCTCTTCGCTGGGTCCACGTCCGTGTGCAGGGACACGTCGCCTGGATGGAAGTGGCCGGAGAAAACCAGCTTCACACGGAAGCTGGAAAAGGAAGGGGCGCGTCCATCACCTTCTCGGAGAACGTGGACCTTCTCCTCTGGGACGAGAGCAAACCCCACCCGGGGGCAGAAGGCTACCCCACGCCAGCCCCCCTTCCCCGTGGGCCGCAGCAGAGCCCTCCCGCCCCCCAGTCCGTCCTGCTCTGAGCTCCGAACGGCCCCCACGGTCCCCAGGGGGCCGCAGATCCTCCCCTGCGGAGGGTCTGGTCTCAGCGGGGACCCCGCGCTCCCTCCTTCAGGCTGGGTCCGGCCTTGACGCCGGGAAGCCGCCTCCAGCCCCCTAACTTGAAAGCTCAGGTTTACCGTGGCAATAACGACGGTCCCGTCCGCTCTCTTCCTTGAAGCCACAGGGTCCCTGGTTCATTCCGGGAGAAGGGCTGCCAGGGTCCCAGGTCTGAACACCCACAGCCCAGTGGCCACGGGGCCGGGTCGGCTCGCACCGCGGTTGCCTCCGGAGAGCGCTTCCTGGGGCGGCCGCCGTCCTCACCTGGGGGGGTGGGGGGCTGAGACTGGATGAAGTGAGATGAGAGCGTTTGCTGCCAGGTCCCCGGGTGGGGGGGGTGGGGGGTGGGGGTGGGACGGGACCCGTCACGCCGGATCCTTGCAAAGGAGCCCGCGGCTTCCCCGGGCGGCTCGCGTACCCTCTGCGCACTCGCGAGCCCCTGAGCAAGGCTGACCCCTTGCAGCCTGGCCCTGCAGAGTCCGGAGCCCACGGCCCCCCGCAAAGGGCCTTGAGGGTCCCAAGAGAATCGTGGGCCACGCTGGGGTGTGGCTGAGACAATTCACCGTCTGAGAGTGGTATTAAAATCACCCCACAAACACTGATGCCTGGCGGGGTGGGGGGTTCTGTCTGCAGGAGGTGAACACACACCAGCTCCCCGCCCAGCGCCCCCTCCCACCTAAAATGACAGCGGTCCATCCGCCTCAGCAGACCTTCACCTTCCTCAATTCAAGACGAGGCCAAGCCACAGAAAAGGGGAGCCACAGGCTCCCGGCCCCAGCCCAGGGCCAGGCGGTAGCCACGGGGCCTCTGCACGGGCCCACCTTTTCTGGGCCCCCGTACCCCATGCCCCATGGCCGGGGGTGTGGCTCTGCGTCCGCAGCCCCCAGGGCCAGGGCTCAGGCAGCTCAGGCCACCAGCTCCATCAAAGGGCAAACAAAGGTGCCGGTTCCTAGGAAGGGCCGACAGCTGGGGGCCGGGCTGGGGAGGAGCTCCCGTTAGGGCCCCTGGTCTGCGCTGCGGCCCCACCCGCGGCCCCAGTTTACGACCAGGTCCTGTTGTGGGCTCGCGTCCAGCACCGCCCTTTCTGTGTCCAGCATCTTCCGGGAACCGGCCTGGGGTCGCGGGAGCCAGGAGGCCCCGGAGGAGCCAAGCGCGCTTCTCACTTCATAGACTCGAGCAGCGTCGCGGGGGGCTCGGTGCTCACGTGGCACGGCCTCGCCAGCGTCCAGGCCGCGCCCGGGCCCAGGCTGATGTGCCTGTGGACAGAGAGGGCTGGGGCTCAGGCCTGCACATCCGACACTCACACACTGTGGGGGGGCGCATGAGGCAAGGCTCAGGAGGGCTGGGGGTCACCCCGGAGGGCTCTGGCCTCAGGGGCATTGGGTTGGGGGCTTCAGGGAGAGACCAGGCTAGGGCTACAGGTTAGGGTTTGGGGCCCAGGGCCAAGGGGTCAGGCTGGGGTTGGGGGGGAGTTAGGGCACCAGTAGGCTGGGTGAGTCACGGGGCGTAAAGGTGAGGAACCGCATCGAGAGCACCGTGTCAGCCCCCAGACAGGGCAGGACACGGTGCCCGGGCACGGCCCCCCTTGTCCCTGCGTCTGCCCCTCGGCAGGAGAACGCCGGCCACACAGCCCACCACTGCCTTCGCTCAGCACCCGGCGGCCCCCGCGGCCCTGCCCCGGCCGAAGGTGAGCCCTGAGCGGGAGAGGCCGGGGGAGCCTCCAGGCTGCCCCCTGCTGGAGCCCATCTCTCCAGCAACAGGTCAGGTCCCAGAAGTCATTTCCTCCCGTCCAGCATGGGCTGGGGGAGGGGGACAGTGTCCATGCTCACCACCCCCCAGACCCCTGCAGCAGCTGGACTGGACAGTTTGGGGGACGCCAAAAAGCTGGGCTAGCGGGGAGCGGGGAGGAGGAGGAGGGAGGGGGAGAGGGCAGGGGAGGGGGGAGGCGGGGAGGGGAGGGGAGGGCAGGGGGAGGAAGGAGGAGGTGGGCCCAGGGGTCCAGGGCTGGGGGTGCATGTTTCTGGGGTGTCTGAAGCCACAGATCCTCAGTGGCCTCTTCAGAGCCAGCCTGCTCTTTGCTCTGGGGCCTTCTAACCTCAGCAGGCACTACATACAGCTGGTGCTCAATAAAAGCTCACAGACGCTGATGGCCAGGGATGACCCCTGCGCCCCTGTGTGGGCTGCCCCCATCTAAGGCCTGTGTCAGCGAGGGGTGTTGGGGGCCGCAGGGCCAGCTGCCAGGGGAGAAGGGCGGCCTAAGGGCAGAAATCCCCACAGGCACAGGCAGGGCCTTCGGCTGGGGGGCCGGACCTGGGAGGAGGCGGCTAAGTCCCTGGCCGTGGGGGGGGGTCACATTGCCCAATGGGGGGCTGCGGTGGAGAGGTCTGCCCATGAGGAAACAGGCTGTGACTTTGAGGGCCCCCAGCCCAGAAGGGGCACGTTGGAGGTGGGTGCGTGGCTGGCTGGGGTTTGGGGGCCTCGGGCCGGGCACTGTCCTCGGCTGCCGCCTGAGGAAGGATGGGCTCGTCCCTGTCCACGGGTGAGTCAGGAAACAGACGGTCACCCCCCCGGAGGCAGAGCTGGACACGCTTCCCAGACCAGGCATGTCCTGCTGCCAGTGCTCCAAGGAGTGGGGGTGCAGGGGGTCCCATCCTGAGCAGCCTTGTGGGGAGGCTCCTCTCCCTGGGGCTGGGGGCGGCGAGGGGGAGGCAGGCTCCGGGGTCTGGGGCCCGCCGCACTGGCCTGACGCGCCCACCAAGACCGCTGACCTCACCCTCGGCTCCAAGGGCACAGAGACTGGGCACCGGGGTGCTTCTGCGGTGGTGGGAGGCACCTCAGAATTTGGGGTCTGTGCATAGTGCCCTGGAGAGGGCTGGCTGGGGAGGCAGAGGGCAGCTCCACCCCCGGCCGAGCCCACCCCCTGATGCCCCCAGGCCAGCGACCATGCAGAGTCCTGGGCCAGGCCCCAGACCCCACCTCAGGCCAAGGGGCAGGTCTGCGGGGTCTCAGCAGGCACACGGGGAGCCCCACGCTCTCTCTCACGGGGGCCCCTGGACGGTGCACGTGGGGGGCGGCCGGTGCTGGTGGACGTGTCCTAAGGGTCCTGGTCAGATCTGGGGGTGGCGCCACAGCCCCAGGGAGCTGGGGGAGGGGGGCAGCCGCGGGGGGGGAGGGGAGGGGCGTGTCAAGGCAGCTGGAGGCCTCTCAACTTCACAGAAAGATGCTGGGGAAGACCCCACCCATGGGTCCTTGGTGAGCAGGGTCCCCAAGGGGCGGGAGCCAAGGGGACCTTCCCTTTGACCTTCAGGCAGCTGCTCCTACCTCCCCACACGGGTCACGCGATGTGCCAATCACTGGGGTCCTCCTGGACAGCAGGGGTGGGAAGCTGGTCTCCGGAGTCTGGGCTCTTGCACATTCACAGGAAAGAAGGCTCAGCACAGCCATGGAGAACGTGGGGACCGCGGAATCCCTCAGGTCAGGGCACCAAGGGCCTCCTCCCCATTGGAGCCGCGCAGGCTCCCCCAGGCCCGGGCGGGGTCCCAGGAGCCTGTGTTCCCGCCCTCCCAGTGCACCGTGCTGTCTGCCCAGCCAGGCTGTGCTCTGGGTGCTAGGGGTGCCTACGGCCTCCTGTGCAAGGACCTTGCCCCGTGGGACTGAGTCCTGGGCAGGGCTGCAGCCCCCCACCCTTCACCTGAGCAGAGCCAGCTCTGGAAGGTTCCAGAGGGGGCATGTCACACCAGGACGCCGATGTTCACCACCAGGTGGCGCCCGGTTCCCACACTCTTCCTGGGGGGCGTGGGCGCGTGCACAGGGCCCTGTCTGCATGCGTGTGCGTGTGTGTGTGCGCACGCATTTGAGCGTGTGTGTGTGACCATGTGAGGGAGCGGGCGTGTGGGACCACACATGTGTGAGCGAGTGTGTGCACACTGGGACCAGAGTGTGGGCAAGGGGTGTGCAAGTGCCCGGGCACTTGGACACAAGAGCCTGAGCGTGAGTGAGTGTGGCCTCGCCCACTCCAGGTGCCCTGCAGTCGGGGACCCTGCCCCTTGGGGGTCAGCCGGGCGAGCAGCCTCGCTGGCCCAGGAACCACGGACGGAGAACATCCCGCAGCCTTTGTGCCCTGGGGGGCGTCCCCCACGGCTCCAGTGGCCTCAGCCCCGGGCGCCCCCCAACACCAACTGGGACAGTCAGGTCTGCAGCCTGAATGCAGGGTGGGCCTCCCATTTCTGTGCCTGGTGCATTCGGGGACATCGGTCCCTCTGCTCCCACAGTGTGGCCACGAAGCAACAGTCACTCGCTCCGGGGGGACCTCTTTGATCTAAGCGTCCCACTCCGTGGGGACTCTGTCCCCAGCTGGCCAGTGATCCCCTGCTCTGTCCTGGGCCCTCCCTGCCTGGCCTAACCCCACAGACGGCTGCCCACCTCTGACCACCTGGGAGCTCGGCCCCAGTGCTCGAGGAAGTGCCCCAGATCCGACCTGGCGGGCACAACAGGCCAGTCTGTGTCTCTCATCAAGAGGGGGCCTTGGCCCCACTCAGCATACACCCCAGTGGACCGTCAGGCCCTTTCGTGACCCAGCCACTTGGGTCATGTGACCTACCTGGTCTGGGCCCCTCTGAGGGAAGCCAGGGGCCGGGACGTGTGACCACTAAGACCTAAGGCCAGTGAGGCTTGAGAAGTGGCCAGAATTACCCCTCAGCTCTGCGGGTGGGAAGAGAGGGGACCCGCCTGCACGGGCCCCCCCAGCAGTGAGGCTGAGCAACCGCAGTGCCTCCTGCCCCTGAAGAGAGCCTGTCTTTCCCGGGCGTGGCCACGGCCACGGGTAGATGGAGAGATGCCCATGTCCCCATTTTCCTGGAGAAAGAGGCCGTGGCCAGGGAGTGCAGCCAGCCGGGGGGGCACCCCCAGGAGGTGCCAGGGCCCCACGAAGCCAGAGCCCCAGAGCTGGACCTGGGACCGGGGTCGGTGACGGGGCACCAGCTGCAACAGGGGGCGGGACGTCCACCTGTGGCCACGTGGACGGATCTCGAGGAAGCGGATGTGGCCTTTGACCGGCAGATCACAGAGCTGGCCAGGTGGGAACGTCAACAAAAGCTCTCAAGGGGAAGTTCGTGGGGACCTGCCGGCCCAGCACCCCTGCACGGGGTCAGCGGCGTGGGGGTGGGGCTCGGTGGGGGGGCCCGGACTCCAGCCACAGACCCTCGGGGAGTGGAGCCCGGCACAGGGCAGGGAGCGCAGACTGCCACCGTTAGTGGTCATCACCGCCCCGTCCTGTAGGCAGTGAGTGCCCCACTGAGGCCGTGGGCCCGGGCCCGGGCGCGCCCCATGCATCTGGATGATACCCAGGGGGCGGTGGGGGAGGGGGAGACTCGTACCCTGGGGTGGCCCCGTGGGAGGGCTGCCTGTGTGCAGCAGGCTCAGACGCCTGAGGGACAGAGGTCTGGCTCAGGGGCTTCCACGGCTCAGACCCCTCCTGGGCAGGGCAGGGGCCTTCGGGTCCCGCAGCAACAGCCCACGCGGCCCCGGGACACGGGCTTCCCCTTCTGCAACAACAGCCCCCAGACGAGCACAGAGGCCTTGGGAAGCCCGCCTGCCCCACCCGCCCCCGTGAGATGGAAAGGACACAGCACGGAGCCCCCAGGGAAGACCCTGGACACAGAAATGTACGTCTGGTGTTGGATCGCGCCTCCCAAACCCCTGGGGTGAAGTCCTCAGCCCCACGACCTCACAAGGAAACCCGATTTGGAAACAGGGTCCTTGCAGGTGTTGAGTGAAGGCGAGGTCATGAGAGGTGGTCAGGACAGTGTCCTAGTGAAAAGGGGGGAAATCTGAGTCGCAGGGAGAGGCCGTGTGAGGACCGTGGGGCCCCAGAGAAGCGGGACCCGCCAGCCGCAGGGGGAGGGGACGAACAGACCCTCCCTCAGGGCCGTCCTGGGAGAGCGACGCGGCGCCCCGAGGGGCAGGTGCTCCCAAGGTTCACGGCTTGGACACAGGGACTCTGGGGGGTGGGCTATCTTCTCGCTACTTTCCTGCATTTTTCCACATTTTACTTAGTGACTATGTACCACGGTATGATTTTTTTAAGTTCCATCTCGTCCAGCAAAGGGAGTGACAGAGACTGAGGCCGAAAGGTGGATCCAGTAGTCAGTCAGCACACCGGACCCCGGGCAGCGAGGGCCACCATCCCAGAAGACAAGCTTCCCGGGTCACCGTGGGGAGGGGGCCAGGGGAGCCGGGCCGTGGCCCCGGGAGAGCCGGGGAGCCACGGGGTCGGGAGGGCAGGGCTGCACACGGTGAGCCTCCGGGCCCCGGGCAGGGCGTGCAGGTGAGGTAAGGGCCTCTTGGGGGCGGGCCGGGGCACAGTCGGCGGGGGCGGCGTCAGCACCCCCCAGCCACGCTAGAAAACTGCACGATGGTGACCCCAGGGGAGAGCCCTCTGCCGGGCCCCGCTGGCGCTGAGCGACTCCGGTCCCGGCTGGCAGTTCTTGGCAGTGAGTCCCGAGAGCACCAAAGTGCTTCCACGCCGGAGATTTGTGGGAACACAGTGTGGCCCCCACACAGTGAGATGCGCGCCAGCTCCCCGGACAGCCAGTCAAGGGGCAGCAGGAACAGCCCCCCGCCCCCACGAACGGGAGAAAACCCAGTCAAGCGAGGCTGGCGAGACGGCAGCACAGGGGTGAGGATGGGCAGGCGCGGATGCCCACGCGCTTACGGGAGCTGAACCCCGAGCGTTCACAGAGGCACCATGGGGGCCGAAGCGGGTCCTCGGGATGGGGTCAGAGAAGATGAGGCTGCGGTCCGGAGAGGAAGCACTTCTCGGACGAGAAGCCGGAAGGTCAGAGACGGTCCACTCACTCGGAAGCAGCAAGAGGAAAACCAGCAAAGAAGCCAGAGCGGGAAGGTGTGTGTAGAGAGGGGCACGCGGCCCAGCGGCCGGCTGCACCGTCGGAGCCACCAAGGGACAGACACAAAGGGAAAGAAACTGACATCCCGGGGAAATGTCCCCAGAACAAAGGCAACAGGGAGGCGCTGGCGGACTCGGCCGCTGGTGACAGAGGTGAGGACGGGCGCGGGGCTTCCGTGTAGTATTTCAATCTCTTTCAGACACTGACCACGAGGACGGGCGTGGCACGCGGGCAGACGGGGCTGCTAGCACGTAACACAAGGGCTCCTGAGAAAGTGCTCAGTCAGCCCGACGGAAGGCAAAGAGCAGAAGAGACAGAGAAAGGGAGCCCAAGGCAGGAGGGGCTGGAGCCCCAGAGTCCCGATGGCTGCGTTCGGCACAGGCGCCGGGAGCGCCGGCTCTCGGGCCGCACAAACTCGCGGCTCGCCCCGTAAGCTGCCTGAGGAAACCCACTGTCAGCATCAAGGCACACGTGAGTCTTCAAGGCAGAAGCATAAAAAAGATGTGCAAACGCACTGCAAAAAAGGCCAAGTGACGATATGAACAGCAAAGTAGACTTCATAGCGACGACTATTAGCAGAGATGAAGAAAGTCATTTCATAACGATAAAATCTGACTTCCTGGCAACAGCACAATCCATAGATGAAAAATCGGTAAACGGGACATCGTCCAGGTTAAAAACATCTGCTCTTTGGGGGACGCCTGGGGGGCTCAGTCGGTTAAGCGTCCGACTTCGGCTCAGGTCATGGTCTCACAGTTCGTGGGTTCGAGCCCCGCGTCGGGCTCTGTGCTGACAGCTCAGAGCCCGGGGCTGCTTCGGACTCTGTGTCTCCCTCTCTCTCTGACCCTCCCCCATTCATGCTCTGTCTCTGTCTCTTTGTCTCAAAAATAAATAAATAAAAAACAAACAAACAAAAAGAACATCTGCTCTTTGAGAAACACGACAGGGCAACAACGGCAACCCACACACTGGAAGGGATCTCTCGGCAAACCCTGCGTCTGGTGAAGAAGGACTTGTGTGCAGAATAGATCAAGAAGTGTCAGAACTGAATCATAACCAAATAATCTGATTTTAAAATGTGCAGAAGACATGAATAGACACTTTACCAAAGGAGATACATGGAGGGTGGGGGCGCCTGAGTGGTTCAGTCGTTTGAGCACGTGACTCAGCTCAGGTCGTGATCTTGAGAGGCAGGAGTCTGAGCCCCGCTTGGGATTCGCTCTCCGTCTCTCTCCCTGCTCCCCCCTGCTTCCCTCTCAAAATAATAAATAAGCTTTAAAAACAAAAGATGCCGCTACGCACCTGTTACAATGGCCACGGTGCTCGCGCCAGTGCTGGGCAGACAGAGGGTGTGGGGGTGCAAAACGGTGGGGACACTCCGGGGGGCAGGTTGCCAGGTCCATAAAAAAGTCAGAAAGGCACCAGCCATGTGCTCCAGTCACGCCACGCGTGGGCGTCTGCCCAAGAGAAAGGGGAGCGTGTGCCCACGTGATTTGTGTGCACACGGTCCCAGCAGCGCCAGTCTGGAAGCATCCCAGCGGCTGGCGCCCCTCGGCCACGAAACGGAACAAAGTATTGATCAGGCAACAACGAGGATGAATCTCAAACAATTTCGCGCAAAATGCTGAACACAATCGGCCACGCGGAAGAATCCACGTGGCATTTTTCTATTGACATAAAATCTAAAAACTGCGCCGGAGTCTGCAGCGTGTGTGCTGGGTCTGTGTGCCCGTGCGGGTGGGTCTCCCAAGCACACGACGCCTCCCGGGGCGCCTGCTGTCCCTGTGGCGGTGACGGGCATGTGATTGGGTCAAAGCCCATTCACCCATACTCTTCAAATCCACGCGGGTTTTCTGTGGGCCAGTTACACCGGACAGAGCTGCTGAAACAGCCTCACCGAGGCCACGCGTCCACCCTCTGGGGGAGGACGGACTGTCCTGTGCCTTCGCCTCCTCCAGAAAGCGCCCCTGGACTCTGAGGGGCAGGCGCCGCTGCAGCGGGGCCGGGAGTGGGCACGCGGGGGTGTCTGGTGTCCTCGTCCCCTCCTCCGCCTCGCGTCCCCCTGAAACTCTGCAGAGGGAGGACAAGGCGCCCCCACCTGTCCCCGAAGGTGACTCGGCCACGCCGTCCCTGTCCCCTCCACCTGTGCTCAGGTCAGGGGCAGGCTAGGGTCAGAGGGACCTCCGTGTGCCTCAACCCAGCGCAGCGCACTTAGCCCAGCCACGGGGCTGCCTTCGCAGGAGGGGACAGCGGATTTGGCGGCTCCCAAGGCCAGTCTCAGCCCCCTGCCCCCTGAGGTTGGGGGGTCTGGAGCCTCAGACCCCCAGGGACCTACCCTGCCACGCAGGCTTTCTCGGGGCCTTGGCCCTTTAGTCCGGTGTGTTCTGGGGCCTTCTGGGGGCCAGGCCAGCAGCGGCTGCCGGCTGCGAGTACTCGCTGAGCAAGTAGGGAGCACCTGAGGCTCCCCTGGGCCGGCCCTGGGACGTCCCACTCCTGGGACGGAGTGGCCCTGGACACCCACCTGGGCCCGTATGGCGTGCTTGTGTCCTCCTTGACCAGCCACGTAGAACTGGCCATTGTGGGCCAGGGGAGCACTGGTCTTGCTCCCTGACCATTGCAGGCCACACCCAGGCAGTGCCAGGCCCCCCAGACCCGGCCCTGCCCCCCCTCGCCTGCAGCCTCTCCCCTCTGTGCAGGGCCCCTGCTTTCCCCCACTCCTGCTCCTCGTTTATCCATTTCTTCCAGCTCACTCCAGAGCCAGGACACTCTCTGGCGTGGCCTCTCCCTACCTTGGCCCCAGCTCCTGGCCTTGAGGGTCTGTCTCTGCCCCTCTTTTAGCCCACCTC